ACAGCCCGCGCAAGCACAGCGCCGCCGCCGCCTCACGCGGCTGGGCAGAGCGAGAGAGCGGCCCCCACACGCTCCGGCAGGGAAGCCCCACGTGCACCGGGCCGCGTCTAACCGACCCCGGCGGCAGCGGGAGGCGAGGGCATTATGCTTACGAAGCCCTAGTGACGTCATGACAGAAACGGCCGCACGTCAGTCAGGACATGAGTCACAGTCTGGTGTGTTGGCGATACCACCGCCACAGTTGCTTGAAGCGAGTCATCATAGTGCGAGATCCGTTCCACGGCATGACTAGAGCATGGAGCATGCCAATAATAGAGCATATAATAGAGCATGCCAATCTGGTGTGTTTGCGTCTAACCGACCCCGGCGGCAGCGGGAGGCGAGGGGCATTATGCTTACGAAGCCCTAGTGACGTCATGACAGAAACGGCCGCACGTCACAGTCAGGACATGAGTCAACAATCTGGTGTGTTTGCGATACCACCGGCACAGTTGCTTGAAGCGAGTCATCATAGTGCGAGAACCGTTCCACGGCATGACTAGAGCATGGAGCATGCCAATAATAGAGCATATAATAGAGCATGCCAATCTGGTGTGTTTGCGTCTAACCGACCCCGCGGCAGCGGAGGCGAGGGCATTATGCTTACGAAGCCCTAGTGACGTCATGACAGAAACGGCCGCACGTCACAGTCAGGACATGAGTCACAATCTGGTGTGTTTGCGATACCACCGGCACAGTTGCTTGAAGCGAGTCATCATAGTGCGAGATCCGTTCCACGGCATGACTAGAGCATGGCATGACATGGCGTGAATGAAGTCAGGCATAGCCTACAGAAGTCCCATTCTAAGAAACAGACAGTTCATTCGCCTTCACCAGTAAATCTGTTGCGCGACCTGTACAGAAAACTCCAGCGGCTATTCAAACACAAACACGGTGGTCCGTGTCAGACCCTGCCGGTGTCGTAAACGGGGCTAACGTAAACAAGCGGATTAAAGCTCTGGACAGCCTCATCCATGTAATCATGAACTCCAAAGGCCAATATATAATTTGCATGTCCCTTGATGCGCTTCAGGCACTCAGTCCTTACCGTTTTTATAGTCTATCATCGACGGTAAAATGCAATGCCAAGAAGCCCAGTCTCATTACAGACTGAAACAGTTGAACCGCAAAGTCACAACTCAGGACATTTACCATCTCAGGTCGTGAACAGAGGTTTATGAATTTGGTTTTGGCGGTCAAAATTTCCAAAAGATTCTCCAGACTTGACCCGCTCAGTCGCTTCAGGCACAGCCAAATCCGTCCGAAGATGTCATCGTTGACGCTGCATACCAGATGGCAAAGTCATCCACAAACAGGGATCGACTTATGGTGGGTAGCAGACATTCAGCTGTATCATCTATCAACAGAGCAAAAAGACTTGCACTAAGCACGTTCCCTTGAGAAAAACCGTTCTCTGGTCGCAGCGGTCCGACAATATACCACCCAATGGAACCCCGAAAAATCTGTAACAAGTGTTGAATGAAGTGTTAGATAGCCGTAAGGACGAAACGTGTGCACCCTGGGAAGAAGGCGGTATCGTGGAAGCGGTACGTTGCCAGGCGGTATCGTACGCCCGCTCCAGATCAACGACTAGCGACCGGATAGTCTTCGTTTGGGAGTGTCCTATGGCTGTATCCAAACCCGTTACGATGCCGACAGAGCATCGGCTGTTTCAAAACCTGCCATGGGCATTCGAAACACGTCTGTGAGTCTTAAGATACCACATTAGACAGCTGTTGACCCTTCTCTGAAGTAGTCCGCTCATGGACGAAGCCCAGGAAATCGGACAGTAATGAAATGGGTCGGAAGTGGAACCATCCTTTCCTGGTTTCACACTTGGGATTATGACTACCTCCCATCATAAGCCCAGGGAGTAATAACCTATCGATGCAAAGTCGAATGGCTCAAACAGTTGCTTCCAAGGATTCCTTTTTCAGTCGGTTCAATAGGTCCCATGTGGGACGGGGTGCGAGCATCACCGCTTAGCTCACCTGCACGGCGCGGTACTTGGTCGACTGACGGAATACGTGCGCCCAGGTCTGCAGCAGCTCCAGCAGCTTCTCCTTGACGATGTCGGGCGCCTTCACCGCCAGCTCTCGCATCTCCAGCATGAAAGGGAACTGACCCACCTGGCGGAAGCGAGCGGCCACCAGGTCACAACCCCGTCCGCCGTGTGCTAAAGAGGTGCTCTTCGGCATGTACGGCCCAGCCACGCCCGGAAGGTAACACCAACGACGCACCACTGGGCCCGCACGCAGGGGCAGGCCGCCTCCACGCACGGCGCCGACGTCAACGCATCCGACTCAAAACAAGCGGACGAGCGTGAGAAATGTTAAGACTCTGCCACTGGCAGGACATGATACTCAGCACTAACCACATTGAATTTCAGTACCATACTGAATATGATACTGGTGCTGAATTTTTGGTACCAGCGCCGACCAACTTTGACTGGCCTAACCCACAGCTGCAGCATTGGGGGCTTTGTCAGCATGGGAAACACCAAAAAACAATGTTGCACAGGTAACCCACATTGCCGCATGTTAGCAGGACTAATGGCAGCCAGGCCATGAGCTGGCAGTGGCCATGCCTGCCACCTAAGGCAGCCAGACCCACCAGCCATCCTGCCCTGCACTGACTGACCCACCTCATCATGGACTGGTGCACCACAGTTCTTCATCATGGCCTCCAGCACACAGAGGGCATACACGGCCACATGCGGATTCTCATGATAGAGCTTCTTCTTGACAGCCAGCACAGCATACTTGGCTCTGGCAATAATGGTGAATACTGTTACTGTCACCTAGATGGGGTACATGAAGACTGCAGGGATTAGGCGAATGAAATTAGTGGGGTCTAAATGGTATGGTCGCAATGCTCCTTACCAGCTGCAGCAAGAATACTCTTGTAAATGTCTGAGACTTCATTGCTATGCATGAGGTGCCAAGTCACACACAACAAAGCTGGACAAATATGGTTCAATATATTTGCCTTGCTGGAGTGTTGCTTCTTATTCAGTTGGGGGAGGGGGCTCCAGCCCCACTTCCAACTGAGTTAAAGTGATTCAAAAAGGCTTCAGCCCTTCTCCCAACTGAGATAAAAAAGACGATTGAATAAGCAGAGAATCAAAAAAGGAAGAAGAAAGAACAAATCACTGCAAAACATGTGCCAAATATGGTGAACACCCATTTGATGGTAAATTTTTGGGGCACATTTCATGTTTGTGGGTTCCGCCCCCCCCACCCCACTCACTCTTCAAAACTATGCTCTTGTTTCCTTGCATAAATATATCACAACTATGCAGGACACTGATCTCGCACTATGAAATTCCCGGCAGGTCTCCCTGAAGCACATGTTGCAGCACATGAAGCACATGAAGCACAAGCACATGGTCATGAGTGCAAAGGAGCAGTGACTCACTGCACATCACCCTGTCGGATGGTGTCACAGATGGCCAGGTTGGCTGACCAGTCAGGCTCCAGCAGCAGGTGGCTGGTGGCTTTCTCTGCAATATACAAGGCAGAACACCTTGCAATGCCGAGGCAGCTATCATATTTAACTCTTGACAATTGACCCTGCTTGAATTACTTGGCAACCCCTGCTATGCCTAGCACATAAAGTGCAACAGGTATTTTACAACCAATTTATCACCACTGCTTTGTCCTGCATGAGCCCATGTTTAGGCCACTATTGCACTACATCTGCAAACAGTCAACAAGTGGTACAAGGTGCTGACTTCAAAATGCTACCTGTGTGTTGTCCAGATCAAAAAATGCATGAAACATATCTAGCATGGCAGCGACATCCATACAACTGAAGAGCGAGTAAATATAACAGCCTTAAGTTTGATGCAGGCTTGTCACTAGTTTTATGATATAAACACAATACTTCAACAAATTCTGATGTTAAGGTTTTCAATGAGGAACAGTTTTTTCCAATTTTAAAATTCAGTGCAGTTTGGCATTGCCTCAGTTAAATGCATGCATGCTCCAGGTGCAGCACAAAGACATCAAAAAGCATTTGACACAGTAGACAAATTATTGGAAGTTTGATATGATGCAGAGGTGACGGCTTATTAAAAACCTACTTGGGACTAATGCATAGCATGACAGAAAACTATCACACTTAACAATAGTACAGCCAATAAAATGGTTCGTGAACCTACCCAAGAGCTTATCAAAGGTTGCCGATGATGATCTCAACATCCTCGCTTAGCTCAGTCGGCTCCTGTACTGCAGCACTATACGTAAGCACGTTTTTCGTAAGCGGCCTCAACAGGCAAGGAATCGTTAAATCTGAAAGTATGATTTAGAAAGACACCGACAGGCCCCTTAACATCAAAATTCGCCACCTAACCACAACATCAAACGCAGTGACCCAAACCCCGCAATACCACACGACCATCGCCATATCCCATGCGTAGCGATGCATAAAGACAACCCATGTATATCTTTAGATTTCGCTCTCTCTATATTTCGTTCATTAAACAAAATAGGAGAATCAAATTTCTAAAAACATTATTATGAAATTTTATAACATTTTTTGACACATATTCTATTCAGTTTCTGGTGAGATCTGACTATCCCAAAGACCCCTCCAGGGGCGCTGTTGACTCCATAGCAATGGCTGTCATGGTGATAAAAGTACTCAATAGTCTAGCCGTATATGACGCAGCTGCTACGTAAGCGGCGAATGAGTAAAAAGTACCAAATTTTCGATAAGTAAAGGAATTTAACACATCAATTTGTATGCGAAATATTGAACGCTCAGTGGAATATGATTCGAATTTAAATATCAGGGAGGCATTCAAGAAATTCCCCTTAATTTATAACTCGCAATCTATTTCATTTCCGTAAGGCTGTTAAAGAATCCTACTGTTTGTAGCGGATACCAAATAGTAAACAAAAGAAAGACGGCTGAATTGCGTAATGTTTCAAAACCGTCTGCCTTTGTAAACAGTGCGAATAGTGCAGCTGTTGTACGGGGTTTGAGGTTGGGGTGGTTGCCAGTCTGGGTGAGATGAATTTAGTTTGTTTTAGCTGAATGGTTGTATGTCTATGATAAGGTAACAGGCTTGACAAAGAGCCGTGAGTTGTTGGCGGGCGTCCTTATGACGTTTCAGCTGCAAATGTAGGGTGCTTCTCAGTATTGTTTTGGATAGGTAACATCTTGCTGCACCCTACAAACAACTCGCCAAAATGAATCCTGTGGGTGTAGGGGATGACCAGCCAACTGTAAGTGCTGGAATGGCAAAAGTGCGTTTTGTCAACTTCAACCAAGACTACAGGTGAGAATTTTCTGTTTCTGTTTGGTGTTGCATGTTTTGACCAGTTTACCATGTTCCACTGTCTGAAGCTTTTATTTGCTCTTTCATGTAATGGGGGGCAGTAGCAGATGAAAAAGGACCATTGACCTTGTTATGAAGACATATTTCATGGTCTATGTAATCATGACCAAAAGTGGGTTAAAGTGACCAAGTCGCATAAAGCCATAGGTTCTGGGTCAAGTAATCAGGGGTGTACTCCCTGCTGCGAAAACTTTTGTCCAGGTTCATTGAATTCTGCATTCTCGTGCTGTGAGATGTTGTCGCACTGATTTGAACAGCTATTTTTAAAGTTAATTCCTAGTGAAGTTCAAGGTCAGCCTTTGTTGTTTGTGATATTTTTTTGCATGGTATGCAATGGGCCCAGACATTGCCTCTGCTGCAGCATATACAAATTTGATAAGTCACAATGCTGGATTTAACCTCTGACTACATGCTGCAAGTGTTTTGCCTATGTCAACTATCTACTTAGTCAGTTGTATATCAAGGTCACTCTTGGTTATTGGCATATGATAACTTTTCATGGCGGATGTTACTTGCAGTTAAGGTACAGGCATCATCAAGTCTAAACACAACAAGAAATGAATGTCATCATTGACAATGTTGTGTAGAAAAGGAGCAAACATAAACATAACCATTTGAGAACACATTGCTAGCAGAGGCCAAATATAACCGGAGTTATATGCACATGGCCTAGGTAAAGCTGTGAAAGGCTGTGAAAATAGCATGACCTTGACCATAAAATTTTGTACTTTTTTCTTAAATTGATATGGGCTCAGATAAGAAAAGTAGGAGAAAGATTGTGCAAGGTGGTCCGCAGGTACTCAATGAAAAAAAGTGCCAGGCAATGGTTTGTCCCAAACAGTGCAAGGATACTTTGCATTGGTACCAGCAAACAGGATTAATGCTGGCTGTGTAAATTTTTAAAAAGCTTGGAAATTGCATGCATCCTCTTGAGTTTTTGAGGTTCTGAGGCTGGGTTTGTTGTCTATTTCAAAGAATGCTACTTGTTTGAATGCATTTTTCTTATGTTCAGCATGTTGGACTGGCTCTCAGTTGCCTTGCTGGTTGTGGGTGGATTACTATTTTGTTGATAATCAACAATAAATAATTGATTGTTAAATACACCTGTTGTGATCACTTAGTCATGTCACATGTGCATTGGTATGAAGCAGTGAACATTGCAAAAGGAGGAGGTGAACACAATTTGGCTGGTGCATTTTATCCATGTATCCCTCATTCTATCATTGTGATTTTACCCACATATATTCACTTTACCATCATTATTTTATCCATGCATCTTTCCACAATTAATCAAAATGTTTCTCAACTGGCTGGGAACCATCTCTGGTTGACCTTTTCCCAGTGTTTTCTTACAGGCTTGTGAAACCCATGCTGGTTTTGGATATAGAGAAAGACAATCAGTAATAGCCTGGACAAATTCAGACATGCTACCTTCAAGCTATAAAGCTACCTACAAGGTACAAAATCAGACAAACTTAGATAAGCTACCAATAACAGCTGAGGGCGAGGGTTCATAACCACCTTATCCCCAGTTTTTTTTCTAAATTAACATGTGAAGCCCCCTAATGTTTGCTCCAGAAACCATTAGTATGGCAATGTCCCTTACAATGTTTCCAAGGGTCTTTCTCTATCAGAATCAATGCACATTGCATCCCTCTCTTTTGCTGTTGTGAGCATTGTGCATCTATAATATTTCACCAGTTGTGGACATTAATTTAGGGTCAAGACATTGGTAATGTGCTGTCTAAGCTCTGTTTTTGTCAACTGAGCATAACCATATTCAGCAAGCCTAATGTGGTATTGGACCCAGATTTCTTGTTGGCAAAGGTGACAAATTTCTTGAAAAATGTCCAGAAGTTTGCCTGAATGGTATTCATGCAATGTTCATTGATACAAAATTGATGTTACTTACACATTATGTAGTGCAGTGACTGTGGATACTATTCAGTTGCCTTGATTTGGTGCTGCTGAGTTGCCTTGATTTGGTGCTGCTCTTCTTGCTGTGTGTTCAATCATTTGTGCAGGCTGTGACTGATATGATGATGATCTGCCAAGCATGTTTGCACCATGTTAAGATGTGCAAAGCCTTCCTCATTAGATGTGACCTGTCATGTGACAGAGTGGAGGTTGTGACAGGTTTTTGTGTGTTTCAGCTCGCTAGCAGTGGGGACCCACATTGGGTACAGGCTGTTCACTATCAATAGCATTGACAAGATTGAACAAATCTATGAAGTTGGTAAGTACCTGAATAAAGCTGTCATTCCTTAGTGGAATTGTCTTCCATGGTGAGCAATAAAATGGTGAGCCCATCACATTGCAAGAGCATTAACATGTGGTTTAGTAATGCCATGATGATGATGCTGGGATAAAGATACTGCATACAAAATCTGTCCCTCCCAGGTTGTGAACTAAGTGCAGTGTCTCTGCAGATGGATGGCCTGGCAAGATTGGAACATGGAGACAATTGAGCCCAGCTGTTTTGCTCCCTAGCATGTGGTTATCGATTAGCGCAACATGTCAGCCATGGTGACGTGTACCCCGAGCCGACGCCCGTTGGCTGTTAGAAGTGGCGCCGGAGCCGGCGGCCTCGCGGAGCGGCGGCCGGGGCGAGGGGATGGAGGAGAGGAAAGGGCGTGACAACGTGGAGAGGACATAAAGTGATGGGGGTGGAAGTGCAAGGGCAAGCAAAATGAGAAGAATGGAGGATGAAGTCTATTGTGGTGCTCCAGCATTTTGTAGAATATTCCGCCTGTTGTCTTGCGTGACCTTCCTGTGCCCATCCTCGCCACCTCATGACCCCCCCCCCCCCCCCCGGCAGAGATCGGTGACGTGCTGATCGTGGAGCGGCTCTTCTCTAGCAGCCTGGTGACCTTGGTGACCCAGGCGCTGCCGCGCCGGCTCCAGGTGTGCCACTTCAAGAAGGGCACCAAGGTCTGCGAGTACGACTACACCAACACCATCGTCGCCGTTCGGCTAAACAGGGCGGTGAGCAGCTGACTGGCTGACGTCACAGGGTAGCTTCGAACCCCTGGTTGACGTCATAGGGTAGCTTTGAGCCCCGGTGACGCAATTGTGGGCGTTATAAAACTGAGGGTTTAGAGCAGTTTGAGATTTGAATGCTGGTATAGGTGGATTGGGATTCGAGATTCGAATGTATTTCGATAGACGTGAATCTGTGCATCTGAATATGAAACCAGTGGCATGCTATTTAAAGAATAAGTGGTCCTGTTCATACAGAAAGAACTGTTGGCTTTAATTTATTTGAAATAAATACATATGCTGTGTAATATATAGTGCATTAAAATGCATATTTAAATTATTGTATTAGGATTCCATGCGGTCATTAGAACTCCAATCCAGATTTTCAAGGCTCGCATCCTCATTTTACGGTCGAAAATTAGCGAGGTTTGAGGCGTGCAATTCGAATCCTTAGTTGAAGTGTCTGCGTGGTGAACCGTCGTTTTTAGAAGTGATCTGTGGCGCCGACGTAGTTTTGGATTCGGCTGTCATCTGGAGTAGTGTGACCTGTTTAATTATGCTGTTTTATGCCCTGAGCGTTTTAGAACAGATTGTTGGATTCCTCGCTGCGGTCGATGGTTTTACCGCCTTTCCCAGACATTCACATGCGTGTTGTTTGGTGAGCCTGAAAACACAGTCGCAGCCTGCCGTATCACGTTGGGGGTCATTTCCAAGTGCCCGCTCCTCATATCGCCGGTTGAAAGAGAGCTTCCCCGGCGATCCGAACGGCTGCCGTTAGTGCATGCAGGCAACCGAACGTGTCGAGCCCGTCCACTTGTCTGTCCGCCGCGTCGCGCCACATGACACCGCTGGCGTGCACGGCAGCGTCTGGTGGTGTGCCTGGAGGAGTCGCTGTACATCCACAACATCCGCGACATGAAGCTGATCCACACCATCCGCGACACGCCGGCCAACCCGCGCGGCGTCTGCGCGCTCAGCGTCAACAGCGACTACTGCTACCTGGCCTACCCGGGCAGCGCCAGCATCGGCGAGCTGCAGGTGTTCGACGCCCTCAACCTGGTCAGTGGCGGCGGCGGCGGGCGTCAGAGGGCGGCGCGACGGTCATGCGACGCTTGGTAAAGGGGGAAGTGGCAAGCATGGACACGGGTGCACGGGGCAGGCGCTAGTGTTGTCTGCCCGCGAGCAAAGGCGCCCTCTCGGGGATGGTTCGGGTCAGGGCTGGAGCCGCCGCACACGCTACTGTGACCTCGATATGACCGGGTATGACCCTCGCCCCCGGAACCAAGACCGAGTATGACCCCCGACCACCAAACTTGGAGTGGGCCGCCGCCTCGCACGCTCACTGGCGCCGCTGTTGGCAGCAAGCCAAGACGATGCTGCCGGCGCACGACTCGCCGGTGGCGGCGGTGGCCTTCAACGCCGGCGGCACGCAGGTGGCCACCGCCTCCGAGAAGGGCACTGTCATCAGGGTCTTCAACATCAAGGACGGGTCCAAGGTCAGTCAGAGCGAGGCGTGGCCCTGGTGGTCCGCGTCACGGAGGGTGGAGCGTGATGCCCCGACGGGCCTTTGCTCTCCGGCCGCCTCTTCACTGATCTGTCATGGTTGTATCCATCTATCCGTCTTTTTGTCGGGCTCGATTGGCGGTCGGTAACCACGTCCATTTTCCTCGGATGGTGTGTTATGGGTGAGGCCCCCGGTACCAGCGGTGTATCGCTTTGTTCGCAGGTCGCGGGGATCCGCTGGGTAACGGCGTGAGTGGAGCATTCGCTTTTTGTCCGCGCCTTTTATCGCCCGGCGGCCGGCAAAAACAGCGCCCTTGAGACGCGTCATTATGTTGGCCGTGGGCCTGTGGTGGGAGCGGTACAGCAGCTGGGTATTGTTCTCTGTATGCCCCGGGTCTTGTGAGGCGCCGTCTGCACTCTCCTGACGACATCTGACGTCATCTGACCCAAGTGACGTCAGTGGTTCGCACCCGGCACACACGCTGCGGCGTGCCCGATTGTTGTAGGCGCGTGAACATGTGCGGGGGCGCCGCGCTCGGCTTGGCAGCCGGCCTTCATGCTTGACCTGGGACTGAGTCACGTGCTCGCGTTGCGGGCTGATCTAAGCGCCTGATTTTAAGTGGGCTGGTCTTCTGGAAGTTTCTGAACTTGCCCTTGATTGGCTGTGAGGCACCTGACCGTATGTGGCACTTTGCAAGTGAACAAGTTGTCCAGTGTCTCGTGCCGTGGCCGGGCCTACCGGGGTACGATGTTCGGGTCAGTGCGTGACCTGACGTGACCTCATCTGCTGTGGCTCGAGCTGCCGTGTAATGGTCGACTCTTGACCTGACCTGACCCAACTGACACTGCTGCAGTGTGTAGACTGTGATGTGGTCAAGCAGCAACACCGCCCTAGCCCTGGGGCCCTGCCCTGCCCCTCGTCCCTGCCCTGCCCTGCCCTGCCCTGCCCTGCCCTGCCCTGCCCTGCCCTGCCCGTCCTGGCCCCGCCCCCCTCCCCGCCCCCCCCGCCCCGCCCCCCCGCCCCGCCCCGCCCCCCGCCCCCGCCCCGCACCCCCGCCCCGCCCCTGCCCCCGCCCGCCCCTGCCACCGCCCCGCCCCGCCCCGCCCTACCTCTCCCCACCTGCCCTGCCCTGCCCCTCCCCGCCGTGACCTGACCTGACCTGACCTGACCTAACCGGCAGGGGTACGAGCTGCGGCGCGGCCTGAAGCGCTGTGCCCAGATCTCCAGCATGTGCTTCTCGCCCGACTCGCAGTTCCTGGCTCTCAGCAGCAACACAGAGACCATCCACGTGTTCAAGCTGTCGGAGACGGTGGCGCAGCCTGTGTGAGTCCTCGCCCGCCGCGGCTGTGAAGCGGCCGGGCGGATGCGGACGGTGCAGGCTCGGACGGCCGGCCGCTATCACCATGGCTGCTATCACCACGGCCGCTATCGCCATGGCCGCTATCACCGCTACTGCTATCACCATGGCCGCTGTCATCATGTTTTTTGTGAGGATGTCTGATTGCACATCGGGGGATACCTCGGGTGACGTCGTCGATGGCTCTCGTCAACACGACTCTGTGAATGGCGCCGTCAGGTGTGCACAGCGGCGCCGTGTAACTCGGCCCTCCGCGGTCTCCACAGGCCGGCCAAGACGGACGAGAGCGGCTGGATGGGCTACCTTAGCAAGGCGGTGACGGCGTCAGCCAGCTACCTGCCCTCCCAGGTCACCGAGGTTAGTGAGTCGGGACCAGCGCCGCTCACATCCTTGTCCTTGCCTGGGGCAGCACGTCCGGGCCCGGACGTGCTGCCCCAGGCAAGTCTGACCCAGTCTGACCCGGCCCAGCCTGACCCAGCCTGACCCAGCCTGACCCGGCCCAGCCTCTGACGGGGTGGCCGACTGAAGGTCGCCCCACCGGTGGGCGTCGTGTGACTTCGAGCCGGACGTTGGGTCGGGATGGGGCCCCGCTGCCGGAGGTCGCCGTTTAGAGAGGGGACGCGATAGTTTCGCCACCCTCCGCGACGTGTGGATACGGGCACCGCCGATTGCCCACCAGCCGTGCTGCAGCGAGGCTTGAAGGAAGTGAACGGGGTGGGCTGTAGCCGGGATACACAGCTCGTGTTTGGCCGTTTCAGGCGCGTAATTGTCATGCCGGTCCGTATTACCCCCTCCCCCCCCCTTCCTACGATGGTCGCGCTGAAAATCGATGGCCTACAGAGCGCAGTGTCGGGCTGGACGCTGCAGAAGTGGGGAGTGCGGACGACAGTCCTGTGCTTCGATTCGCAGAAAAGTGTTAACCTGGTGCATTTAACTGCCCCGTTGAATGTCGCTGAGGCTCAAACGCATTATAGGCTTCCATCTGAGTATGTTTTTACATATGTTGCCGATAGCTATCAAGGGCCAGCATTGAGGGTAGAATATTTCTCCCGCCCCAGAAGTAACCAAGGTCCTATATCACCTTCCCACTTTCATCTGTGCATGCAGTCGAGCAGCGCCTGGCCGACCGCGAAGTGGCGCGTACTATCGCGGTGTGAAGACGGCACATCTTCGCATTACTGCGTCGGCCGTAGCTCGGCCGGCCTACCGCTTGTTGCACCGACCGTCTGCCGGTGGCGCCCGACGGAGGTCTGGTCTGACCGGGAAAAGTCCGTCTCTGGGAAGGTCTGTCGGTCGGGACTGCGCTGCGGCCGACGTTGATGACAGTGTCGGCGCCCGTGCCGCAGGTGCTGAACCAGGGTCGAGCGTTCGCCACCGTGCACCTGCCCGTGCCCGGACTCCGCGGCGTCTGCGGTCTCGTCACGTGAGTGTGGGGGGGGGGAGGCGACCTCAGGTCACAGTGCGCTCACCCGAGGCCCGGTGTCCGTTGTCGGGAACTGTGGTAGACGCCGCCGCCGCCGCTGCCGGTGAAGCCGTGTTTGTTCAGTCCTGCACAGTCTGGCGAGACCCAGTGACCACCGCGGCCGGACGTCAGCGGCGCCCGCGCCGGGCTGCGGCTCTCGCCAGCTGACGTCGGTGTGGGGCCGTCTGTGGGCGAGGCGGGACACGGGACACGACCGGCCGGCTCTCACCAGGTGACGTCGGTGTGCGGCAGTCTGTGTGCGAGGCGGGACACGGGACACGGCCGGCCGGCTCTCACCAGCTGACGGCGGTGTGCGGCAGTCTGTGGACGAGGCGGGACACGGGACACGGCCGGCCGGCTCTCACCAGCTGACGTCGGTGTGCGGCGGTCTGTGGACGAGGCGGGACACGGGACACGGCCGGCCGGCTCTCACCAGCTGACGTCGGTGTGCGGCGGTCTGTGGACGAGGCGGGACACGGGACACGGCCGGCCGGCTCTCACCAGCTGACGTCGGCGTGGGGCCGTCTGTGGACGAGGCGGGACACGGGACACGGCCGGCCGGCTCTCAACAGCTGACGTCGCTGTGCGGCGGTCTGTGGACGAGGTGGGACACGGGACACGGCCGGCTGGCTCTCACCAGGTGACGTCGCTGTGCGGCTGTCTGTGGGCGAGGCGGGACACGGGACGCGGCCGGCTGGCGCTGACCGCGACTGTGTACGCCGGGTGTGCGCCGGAGTGTGACGCCGCCTCGTACCCTCCGCTCGGCAGGATCAAGAAGCAGTTGAGGCTGCTGGTGGCCGCCGCGGACGGCTACCTTTACGTCTACAACGTGGACACCAACGAGGGTGGTGACTGCAATCTCATCAAGCAGCATAGGTAAGATCCCCGATAATTCAGTGTCGAAACCTGTAACTTGCGGACGGTCAGTTGGTGGCCGATTAGTGGCCACTGCAATCAGCGCCTGCTGAAGCACAGTTCAGCTAGTACTGACGATTGTCTGCTACTCGCGGTGTTCCAAAACTTGCGTGTCTCGGCCTGAACGGTTTGATGATTGAGCGCGCGTGCCGCGGATGTCCGGCCATGTCATGCGGCCTCTGACGGAGGTGGCCGGCCGCCAGGCTGGACGGTCGGCTGGAGGGCGAGCTGACGGACCCGGCGCCCGAGGCGGGTCACAGCCCGTCACCGCCGCAGGCGGCACCAGGTGGGCCACCGCTCTCCCGCTGCCGGCGGGCCTGGCCGGGGCGTGTGTGGGTTCCTGCGTGTGGTGGTGTGCGTGGGTTTGTGTGCGTGTGTGTTTCGGGTAGTTTGCTGTGATGTGCCAGAGTGTTGCTGCTCAGTAAATGGCGCAGGGTGTGCAGGGCACTGCCGTGCTCCGTTTCACCCCCGCACGCCGACACGAGGGGGCCGCCGGGCTGTGGGGAGGCGGAAGTAGCCCGCGCCATCTCCCGGTGCTGATGACAGGTTCGAGTGTGGGAACTTCCCGCCACTCAGACGCCTGCCTGTGGTTAAGCCTCGCCAGGTGTGGCTATGGGTCAGAGGTTATGTTGGCATCGCTGAAATCACCACCCGCAGACGGTCTTAATATGAGCACCGAACTCCTTCCAAAGATGGGCTTTTCAGTTATCTTCCGAAGACCGGCATTTCTATTTGCACCATCATTTTAGCTGACGGTCACAGTCTGCAAAATGGCCGCGAAGTCTCCCGAAGCGCGTCGCCCGCGTCTCTGGAGCTCCACATTGCTGCTTCTTCTTAACTGCACTGGTCTGCGCATGCGCCGCACCGCTTGCATTTCCGCCTGCTGGCAATGTCCGTCGTCCTCTGTGTATAACCTTGACTAAAATGGGCGCGTGCCCGGTACCGAAGACGACCAATTATCCCCGTAGCTACAGCTACCGTTTGGGTACTGGTCGTCAATACCGCGGAAAAGTCAGCTAAATACGCACTGGCTAAGGAACGCGCTGTGTCGCACTGGGCACAAGTCGCCTAAAAATAAAGCTTGCAGCGCTCTGCCGAGACAGTTTTTGCTGATCTGTGGGCAGACCGTATAAAATGTGTTAAAATTGTTGCGGGAAACCGAAATTTCATTGTTGGTTGGTAAACGTGGGATTTCTTCGCGCCAGTCATATTTCTTCCGTCCCCTCATAGATGGCGTAGGGGTATGTCTGCGTGTGCTTGTTTTCCTCTTCTGTCTGCTGTCCCAGCCGATTGCCTTTTGGCTTCTCCTTCAGCTGATCTGGCGTGGCCGGGGTTAACGGTCAGCTGGTCTGGTGCGCCATGGGCCGACGGATTGCTGGCTCGGTCGACTTGGCCACACCCGGCAGCCGAGTGGAGGCGCGCCGGTGTCAAAATTTATGTGGGAGTCGTTTCAGTTTCAGCCTCTCCCTCTTTGTCTAGGCTGGCTGAACAGTGGTATTTAACTGTTTGATAACATGTGGCACTTACTGTTAACGTTCAAAAAGGAAATCGTCATAGCGATTTCAGCAAACTGAAATAACCGAAAATTTCCCAAAGACAGTTGTCATTTGTGTCGAAAATCATTTTCGACCGACCCAGCGGGTGACGCCATCGTCAGTAAAAATGTTTCTTGAGACGAGATTTCCACAACAGAAACTCAACCTTACTCTTGGGGTCCGTCCTGCAGTCCGCTGTCCCTTTCGCGCAACATATTCCCTGCTGGCCAGCCAGGCAGCTGATGTCAAAACTGCGGTCAGCTGATCTGACGAACGGTCGCGCCTTCTGTTGGTCTGATGGGTTCACATCGGACCTACGGTCGGTGCCCTCTGCTGGTCTGATCGGTTCACGTCGGACCTACGGTCGGTGCCCTCTTGTTCTGATCGGCTCACATCGGACCTACGGTCGGTGCCCTCTGCTGGCCTGATCGGCTCACATCGGACCTACGGTCGGTGCCCTCTGTTAGCCTGATCGGCTCACGTCGGACCTACGGTCGGTGCCCTCTGTCGGTCTGATCGGCTCATATCGGACCTACGGTCGGTGCCCTCTGTTGTTCTGATCGGCTCACATCGGACCTACGATCGGTGCCCTCTGTTGGCCTGATCAGCTCACGTCGAACCTACGGTGGGTGCCCTCTGTTGGTCTAATCGGCTCACATCGGACCTACGGTCGGTGCCCTCTGTTGGCCTGATCGGCTCACATCGGACCTACGGTCGGTGCCCTCTGTTGGCCTGATCGGCTCACATCGGACCTACGGTCGGTGCCCTCTGTTGGCCTGATCGGCTCACATCGGACCTACGGTCGGTGCCCTCCGTTGGCCTGATCGGCTCACATCGGACCTACGGTCGGTGCCCTCCGTTGGCCTGATCGGCTCACATCGGACCTACGGTCGATGCCTTCTGTTGGTCTAATCGGCTCACATCGGACCTACGGTCGGTGCCCTCCGTTGGCCTGATCGGCTCACATCGGACCTACGGTCGGTGCCCTCTGTTGGCCTGATCGGCTCACATCAGACCTACGGTCGGTACCCCCTGTTGGCCTGATGGGCTCACGTCGGACCTACGGTGGATGTCCTCTGTTGGCCAGATCGGCCGACATCACACGAGAGCGATGCCCTCCGCTGGCCAGCCGGGCCAGCCAGATCAGCTGACGTCACCAGACCCTTAGACGGCGCCCGGGCGCCCTCTCTTTCTGCCGGGGCCGGGGCTCGCCTCGCACGCGC